GCTCAGTGGGGAGTCTGCTTGAGAGTCTCTCCTTCTCCCTCTCCCTCTGCTCCTCCCCCCACTCCTGCATGCTCTCTCTCTTTCTCGCAAATAAATAAATAAAATCTTTAAAATAAATGAACATACTTTGAACTCTTCTGTGAACTCAGAATTTATTTAATCATGATGAAATTGGAGTTTAGGTGAAATTTATCCCTTCCAAGTGGGAGTGGAAATAGAAGATGTTTATTCTCAAAGTGGGAGGTTGGAAGTTTCAATTTGGCCGAGAAGCGGATATCTGAATCCTGCTACCAAACGAAGGGAGGTTCCCTGTGTGCTTCTGTCCTTCTGGGACTTTGTCAGAGGCACAATTATCTTTAAGCGCAACAGTGTTTTTCTGTTTTTGTATTGTTTCAACATCACAGTTTTGAAACCATTGTTAGAATTTTACCCCCAACCCTAAAATTACAAGTCTTTTGCATCACATACAGTTGAAAATTTTTCAAACCTCAGTGGTGAAATGAATTTAAAATGTTGCCATATGTTTACTTAAAATTCGTGGAGAAACCAAGTGAGGAACCAAGCATGCTGGAATTACTAACGCTAATGTTACAGGATTTGTTTGTCAGTAAACGATGAGAAAATAACATGTGTTATATCCGTGATATTATTAGGATTACATGGAGAATTATTTTGACAGTGTTTGTCTTGAAAAGGGAGACATACTGGCTTTAGAGCTTGTAGGTGCTAATCGCTGGTCTGACTTGGCAGCCCAGGAGACTCACTTGCCGTGGTAACAGCAGGAATTACAGTTTCTGGCAACTCGCTGGGAGCAGTGGTTGCTGCCTTGGCAGCCTCATAACTAGTCAGGTCTGGCACCTTCCTGGATGTTGATAGGATGTTGATAGAGATCACGGAGGGTTTTCTGACCTTCCATGCCTTTTGTCTGCCATCAGCTATGAAATTAGTGGCTCTGTCCTTTTTCAAATGCAAATTTATGATGTGAAGCTCAAAAGAAAGAAGGTTTGCTTTCAAGTACAGATATGGGTACCTATTTAACTGATGGTCTACTTTAAAAGTGTATATAAATGTATTTATAAATCGAAAATCTGTAGTAATTGAGACTTATAAGAAAGAAATGTGGAGACTTTGAGTCTTCGTGTAGAAATGGTCAAAAATATATAAAACAATGACATGACTTTTTTCTAAAATATTTGTCACTGTCAGGAACAAACTGTTTTTTCCCCAAGATGAATGATGGCAGAAATTCAATTTTCCTGAAATTGTAGGAAAAATGCCACAGGAAATGATGAGTGTGAAGACATTATTTTGAGAAATGAGCAACAATTTAGGTGTAAGTGGCGAGAGAAAAAAGGCGGTAATGGGGCGGAGGTTGGGAGGGGGGCAGTTAAAAAAAAAATCCCAAGGCAAAGGATCCTCAGGGCCTGGGATTCTTTTTTTTT